ATTAAGTACAGCTCCTTCTTATCTAAATAGTCCACAGATGTAGAGAGACACAGGAGCTCTCTGCTCCTATTTGGAGCTTGTTCTGGTACCCATCGTCTCCAAATCTACAGAAAGCAGCCTCCTTAGCCTTTGCTGACAGAAATTCCTGCTGCCTGAGCCCCAGTAAATCAGCCCCTCAGCAGGCTGTCCCCAGTTTATCAGAGTTGGGCTTCCCCTCCAAAGGCTTCAGCTCCCCTCCCTTTCTAGGCTCTTGCCATCACCTGAGCTTGAAACTGCCCAGACGTGAGCAAATGGAACATGAAAAGTGCCAATTCTGTTGTCAAATTCCCATATAACTTTATATGTTATGTTCAGATAAATACCACCAGTTGGTTAACGCCACCAACCCCTGGCAGTCTGGGGATGTGGGGTGTGCTGGGAAGTTTGGTGAAAGGCACAGCCTGGAATGCTGTAGGTTGCTGGTGGAGGGGCACAGAAAGGGATCTGTGAGTTTCCATAATAGATTTGGAAGGAAAAGAATCATTCCTTAAGGTCTAGGACAGGGATGAAATCAAATAAATGAGTTGAGAAGACTCAACCCCAGACATGACTCTCAGTTTGATTTTCTCTCCTACCCAAAGCATGGTTAATATTTGAGTCCCTAGGAGATGGGTTCTCTATGTGGCTCCCATAGATGGCATGATTACAAGGGACAAGGACCCTTCTCACTCAGCAGCCCTTCTTACTTGCCCAGGAGAGCTTCCCTACTCCAAGGTGCTCTGTGGACCTGCAGCCCCAGCCTCACCCGGGGCTCATTAGACATGCAGACCTCCAGCCCACCTCAGACCTACCCCATCAGAACCCACGTTTTCACACTGATCCCCGGTGGCTCACAGGCATATTAAAGTCTGAGAAGCACCCTTTGGAGAGCCAAATATACCCAACTATAAAGGAAAGAGCCAGGGCTCCCTAATTCCTGCACCTGACTGTCTCTATCCACTGATGCTTAGTAAGAATAACTCAGAACTTCAGAAAGGGCTTCAGATTGGGGGTCAGGGAAGAAGGATACCAAAACAGCCTCCAGTCCCTCATCCCAAGCTACCGCATGTCCTATGAGAATATTCTGCAAAGTAAGATCCTGTGGACTGCTTACATCTGGGAAAGAGTACATTAGTTCAAGGTTCAGAATCTAGGGGTCCGTTGCAAACCTTGGGGAAATTCTGGGGGTGGAAGCCAGGAACTGCATGTCAGCAAGCTCCCCTCGGGGTACTCACATATGCTCAAGCTCAAGAACGGTTCTCCTTCATTCCTTCCATTGCTAGTGGATGGCTGGTACAGATGTCTCTTCCTCAGGAGCAAAAGCGAATTGCTGGCACTTCTAGACCCAAGGTGGGCAGATGGCCTTAAAGATAAGACCAACCTAACTTTGTGTCCTTTGTCTCCTATTGCCCCTGGGCCAGAGAGCATCTGTGTTGTTCATTGAAGAGGCACAGGTGCCATACAGCTTGGGGACAAGTCTGCTGTTCTGGGAGCTGCCAGCATCTCTGAGGCACAAACCTCAAGCAGTCCTGAACCTCAGGCACCCCCAACAGCTGGAATTGCCCTGGAGTTGCACACACTTCACCATCCTTTTGCACACACTTCCCCATCCTTTTGCTAATTTGTTTTTGTTTGGTTTTTTTTTTAAAAAAAAAAAAAAGGAAGCTGGGCTCGGTGGCTCAGCCTGTAATCCCGTGCTTTGGGAGGCTGAGGTGAGTGGATTGCCTGAGCCCATGGGTTCGAGACCCACCTAGGCAACTTGGTGAGACCTCATCTCTACAACAAATCAAAAAATTAGCCGGGCGTGGTAGCGTGCGCCTGTAGTTCCAGCTACTTGGAAGGCTGAGGCGGAAGGATTGCCAGAGCCCAGCAGGTCAAGGCTGCGGTGGCCGGAAGCGGCCACTGCACTCCAGTCTGGGCGAGAGAGTGAGATTCCAACTCAATAAAACAAACAAACAAAAAAAGGAAATGATGGGTCACGGTGGTGGGGCTTCAATGGGGGTGACAATGACATCTACACTCAGCCTAAAAGAAATGCTCTTTCTTATTAATCAAAGGAGACGAAAAAGAAAGGCCAATATTTTCCTTGGCTGGGCTAGCATTTTACTTTCATCCATCAGGTACATTCATATGTGAGAATCTTTTCACACCAAAGCAGATAGAATTTTTTTTTCTCTAGTGCATCATCATTGCTAGCGAAGATGAAGCTCAGCTGCCTCCACAGATAGAATTTTTACAAGTCCTCATACTATGCCTAAAAAGTATCTCTGTGCTTGTGTGTGGTTTGGGGTGACGGCAACACGCCCACTTTTTGCCAGTTGTCTTGAGTTTGGACGTGCCCTAGATCAGGGACCTACATCCATGAATTTATCACTGTAATTGTTTACAGAATTAAGAGTCACATGGAAGGAGTACCTAGGCAAGAAGCACATAACCTCATACGGAACAGGTTGGGCTCAGTAAAGTACAATGCTTGGGTCCCAAAGAGAAGTTCACAGGAAATTCAGATGTTATGTCTACACAACTGGGATTAAGGAGTCCTGTGTTTTAATCCCAGCAAGGCAGTTACCTAGGGGTCTCAAACTAGTTAGAAATCCTGGCAATATCTCATCTTAAATGAAAGGGTGGGTCTCGTGTGGGTCTAAGACTCCATATACAAACAAGTTTTCAAATTCTATTTGGTAATTTTAGTGCTGAGTTGGGCCGGAGGGGGAAGAGCATCTGAAACTAGAAACAGGGAAAAGAAACTTGGGCAGGACTGAAAACTACGTTTTTATAGAGCAAGTATTTAAGCTTCTTTCTGATCTGAAACACACACAGCCAGGAGAAACACTTCTGGAAGTCATTCCCAGGAGCAGATGGTAAGTGGGGGGCGGCGGAGGGTTTGGGTAGCCTACAGTGCCTCCCAAGTTCCCCTTCAGCCTACCCACACCCAGTTATCATTTGAAAGCTGCTGAACAGGGACAAGAAAACCCAAGAGGAGGGGGAAGTACGTGTGCAGTAGAAGAAGGTGAGGAATGTATGACTGGGTGGAAAAAAGTCACAGCACACATTATCATTGATTAATTGAGTAATTTTAGTCAAGTGAATATTGATACATGGTTGGGAAAGCATGAAAATAAAAACACATACAGGAATTACTATTAACATAAGCGATAACATCAAAACATCTGGTAAAATGCAGTTAAAAAAACAACACAAATGAAATGGAATGTAAAACATTTTCACAGTATTCAAAGCTTTTGTAAAAGATTTAGACTCTAAAAGAGGAGTACTACACAAAAGAACTAGAAGAGACAGGAATTTCGTCTGTGTCCCACATATCTGCTGGTGACAGGTCCCTACGGCCAGCACATCACTCTGTGGAAGCTGCCTGAGGTATTCTTCTGAAACAGGTCACCTGAGCCACCACATTGATGAAGTTACAACAGAGCAACCAGTGACTGGGCGTCTGATGGGAAAAACAGATGTTCGGTTTGGGAAACGAGATTGCTGTAATATGCAGAGCCAGATACAAACTGACGCTCTGATCGGATCCTGCTCAGGGAGAACTTGGTGCTCACACACAGGCACCAAGAGCCAAGTGAGACACCGGGTATTTTTTAAATGAACTATTTTTGGAATCCTCACCTCCATTCTATCTTCTAAGATAACTACAAGCATTCTGCCAAGATTTAGCTGAGTTCTGCCAATGGCCTCCCAGGACAGTATCCAGAATGATTATTTTAAAGCTTTACAAATCCTGCCTTGCGATGGTACAAAATCACATAGAGATCTCCTCTTTTGGAAACCAATGACCAAGCCACTGAGGCAGCACACTGGTTCTGATACTCTGATGAGAAAAACAAAGGCTGGTGATAATGCAGCTTTAAGCCCATAGATAGCCTTCCTTTAGGTCCTAAAATTGCTGATGTGATACAGACAAAGCTGGTATATGTCTAACATCTCCATTAAAGTTATACAGTGAAACTCAAAATCAGGGATTCTGAAGGGTGGTAAGACCTGTGCTGCAATTCACATGTTCCACTTATTTTGAACTCCTTCTGAAGATATCACTTCCTACCTGAGAATTCCCATTTAGAGAGCTGCACAGCACGGGCCACCTGTTCTTCCACACTCTGCGGTAACTGCTGATGTCCCAGATGAACTCCTCTACTAGGGACCCAGTCTTGGAGAGAGGGCCTATCATGAGGCACTTTGTCAAAATGAGCAGACACATATGAGCACTGAAATACTGAGTTAATCAGAACGGAGACCCAGACCCATGCACTCATGAACCTGCCCTGAACTTCAGTTTGACAGCAGGAAAGTAGATAATTTCTAATTAACTAATATATATATACATTTTGTAATCATCCAAAATTACAGGCAAATCACACAAGGTCCCTAACACTTTATGATTAAAGGTCAGAGAGAACCAAAAAAAAAAGGGGGGTAAAAATTAGGGGACCACTAGTTGTGAGAGGTTAATTATAACAGGAAACCTCAGGTGGGCAGCTAGATGGGCATGCTGATTTTCAGACTGATGTCTTCGAAAGTCAACAGACTCTTCCACTGTTTCTGGCCAGGGGCATGGGAGTGACACATTACAGCCTCTCTGCAGGATCCAGGTTGGGTATAAACATTCGCCAGGAGGGAAGAATCACTAAGGCCTCGAGGTGGTAAAGAGAATTAAGAACTAGGCTTTGGAGGAAGAAATTAACATTAATTTTTTAGAGCTACTTCTTATACATTGGACAAGTGGAGTGAAGCTGTCTAAGTGAACAAAGTTTACGTATATCACTTATTAAACTTAAGGGCTTTGAGAAACATTTTAGGGTACTTGAGAAAAAAATGCATAGATATTTTGCTTTTGAAACTCTGCTTGGATGAAGACACTTCTGTCAACTTTCCCTCTCCAAAAATGAAACAAAAGGTAAAATGTGCAGAAGGTCAGGCAGTTAGGTTGTTCTGAATTTCTTTGTTTTATAGGCAATCAAGTTTAAAGGAATCTGTTTCTTTACAAATAAAAGAACGAAAAGCACAATTAGTTTTGTTAGGGTTGTGTGGGATAGTAGGGCAACCAAGAACGCCTTGGGAAGGAGACCACCCAGCCCTGCTATCAGGCACATCCGCCTCCCACTGGAAATGCCCAGTGAGAGAGCCTCTCCTCTGGGAAGCAGCCTTGACTGGATCAAGAGACCCTGTCTCAGCACACCTTTTGAAGGCTCATGGTAGACTTTCTTTCAAACTTTGAAAAGTAGGCTTTTGTTGCTGATCTTTAAAAATTGTGATACAAGCAAACAGATGAAGCAAGAATGCCAGGCTTGTCACCTAATTTCACAATTCACCCTGACTCACAGCTTGTTGGACTGTTCTAGAAAGACTGTATTTTCTTCTTTGACTATGTGTTTTGAAAACCACTAGCCATCGCCTTCTCAGTCTGAAAATTGCCATCTCTCTCATGCCCACTGTGCTTTCCCTTACACTCTGGTGGGGCTCCGGCCGCCCTTCCGTATGTCTGAGGTAAGGTCACACCCTGGGCCTTTGGGAACTGCCACCCACAGGGCACCTGAGACAAGTCAATCCACATCCAGAGACAAGCCCATGGGAAGACTACAGGCAATACAGGTGATGACTATCTTCCAGTTTGTTGTCACTATTGATAATGCACTTGTTTTTGTCTTCTGCACCTATGACTTTCTGGAACTGACCTTAATCGTTAAGCGTGACATGTGTCTGTTTCTCTCTAAAGCAGACAGAAAGAGAAACGATTCTAAAATTAAAAGCAACATGACTTACCAAGAGTTAGGATTTTCTAGCTCCAGAGACATGGATCAGCCAATAGACCCACTCCAACAAGTTACAAAATTTCATTTTCATTTTTGCTGCTGTCCCTCATTTTTTGTCCAATCCTTTCCCCCCACTTTTTTTTTCTTGCTGGTAAAAATATTCTTTTGTTGTGGCTGCACCTCCAGTAAGAATGGCTGGCATCCCTCTGGCCCAGGACCTGCCTTGGAACTGAAAAGCCTTCCTACTCTACATGGCCCTTGCCTTGCCAGCCATAGCTATCTGGGGTCTGGGCATGGGTGTGGAGGGGAGGGGGTGGGATACTGCAAGAACAAAGCCAACTGGACTACAATGTCCACTACTGACAGGAGCAGTGTGTGTGTGACCCCCGGGGCTGGGGTCTTCCTTTGACCCCTGCCGCGTCCACCCCCCCAACCCCGCGCTCCCTCCCCAACCCGCCCGGGTGAATCACTTGAACACCGACTGAAACGTGGGGCATTCATGACTCTTCATCTTCCTCATGAAGTTCTTGAACTCCTTGTTTTTCTTGTCCCACTTGTGGATGGCCGTCAGCAGGTACTGGCTCTTCACCTTCCGGCCCATGATGAGAAAGTGGTGGCTGAGGTTGTCCAGCTGATGACAAGGACAGTCAGCCCCGTTCTTCAGGTACAGGACAAGCTTCTTCAGGTCCTTCTTCTTGATGGGCCCCAGCTTCAGGGGCTTCTTCTTCTTGGGGACAATCTTTTTGTCACCATTTTCTTTTTTCACTTCTTTTATTTTCATCCTCAGTGCTAGAGATGGTGGGGAAGACAAGGAGAGAAGGGGAAGAAAAAGCATTTAGAACAAGCTTTTCACCTGAAATGGTGGAGGAGGAAATGGAGGCAAAGAGAAAGCAAAAGAAGGCACAGTTTTTCCACAAAAACCAAGGTCTCCATCCCTTGTTCTGCTGCTGACTCAACCCCCTAGTTTTGTGGTGTCTTTAAAAATAAAAAAAGACAGGGTGTTGCTTAATCACCCAGGCTGGAGTCCAGTGGCACGATCATAGCTCACTGCAACCTCAAGCTCCTGAGCTAAAATGAGACTTCCACCTCAGCCTCCTGAAGAGCACCATGCCTGGCTAATTTTTATTTATTTTGTGTGGAGAGGAAGTCTTGCTATGTTGCCCAGGCTGGTTCTCAAACTCCTGGCCTCAAGTGACCCTCATCTTGGTTCCAAGAGCACTGGGATTACAGGTGTCAGCCACCATACCTGGCCTTTTTGTAGTGTCTAATAGTAGCTCAGAATTGCCACCAGGCACCATAAAAGTTCTCAGATAAATTTCAAAATCCAAATCATATTTCTCTTTTTAAAAATTCAGTGGCTCAGAATATTATACACTGCTTTAAGTAGGGGATCCTATAATCCAATTTAATCCATATAATCTAATGCTATAGCCCTCAATATTCAAAGGAAAAAAAAACCTGATTTTTTTTCTTCTTTAAAGAGAAAGTTACTGGTTTCATTTATTAACATCCAAAGATCTAAAATTCCTTTAAAGTTGGGTGCTGCAAACAAGACAAACAACATCTATGCATGTACACTTGGTAAAGGGCCAGTAAAGAATTGTCATGCTGGGTGTGTTATACATCAATATCAAGCCTCAACATAGGAGTACCTATGACTGGGTTTCTGCAGTGGTTGGACAACAGGTATTGCTAATATCCTGTCAACCACTAATCAACCACTAATCCCCACTAGCAGGTACTCCTAATGTTCTATCAACTGAGGAGACCAACACGAACAAAATCTACTTTGACTTCCCGACAGATGAGAGCAAGTCCCGGTGAAGTCCTAAAAGATAAATCCACGATATGATCTCTCCTCACATCTCCTCAAATGGTACCTGGCTGCTACAGTTCTCGGTGCAACCCCCAGCAGAAAGGGAAAAACACCCCATCCACCAACTACACCTTCTCTTTCCTTTGTCCCTATAGATCCTGGATTAACATTATAATTAATCCATGGACCAGAGCCTTTAGTGATGGCTCCACAGTGTCTACTGATGAGGATAAATCAGAGTAAAGTCACTATAAACTGTGAACACACTAAACACAGAGTATCCTTGTTACAGCCAATTCTCCTCCAAGACTGGCCAGCCCCAGACAAGTCCCAAGGAGTTGGAAATCATTTTCTAGATGCTGCTCACCGGATAATTTCTACATCCTCTGAATTCTCTTGAATTCAAAATTACCAAGCCCCTCTTTTTGGTAACTCAAGGCTTCTATTCACACTCCATGAAGCAAGTCTTAAACCTGAACTAAATAATAACAGTTAATAATTATAAAAGCATGTGATTTATCAGGACATGTACTAAGAATATTTTTTTTTTGAGTTGGAATCTCGCTCTGTCACCCAGGCTGGAGTGCCGTGGCACACTCATGGTCATCCCAGCATCGACCTGCTGGGCTCTCTGGCCATCCTTCTGCCTCAACCTTCCACGTAGCCAGAACTACAGGTGCGCGCTAACACGCCCGGCTAATTTTTTAATTTATTGTAGAGACAAGGTCTCGCCAAGTTGCCCGGGCTGGTCTCAAACCCGCGGGCTCAGGCAATCCACTCACCTCGGCCTCCCAAAGTACTGGGATTACAGGCTGAGCCACCAAGTCCAGCCTGTCCTAAGAATTTTGCATGCATTCCTCAATTAATCCTAACAACTCCAGAAGGAAGGTACAATTATTCCCCCCATCTAACAAATGATAAAACTAAGGCTTATGGGGCTGATGTGCCCAAAGTCACTAACCCTAAATTTAAGCCCCTGTCTGACTGGATACTTTTAATCAGCATGTTGTTCATGCTGCCTCTAGCGTTCCAGGATTCTTTAGAATGAACCCAAAACTTGGAGTACTGATTAAATGGACCAAGAAAGTATGTGGGAAGACCTCAGACTCTCTTCCCGGTTTCACCTACATTTCAAAATGACTTTACTAATGAAATGGCAAAAGAGCACCTTGTGGTTGAAAGAGGCTAGCCGAGCAAAGAAAAAACTGCATCTGTGGAGGTTTTATTAGTGAATATTCCAGTTGATTAGAAAAGCATACCCTTAGCTAACCTGAGAATAAGGAGAAGGAAAAAAAAAATCCTGAGAACAAATCTTTAGTGAACATGTCATAGCCAGTAAATCAGACACAGTCTCTCTGCTTTCTCTGTCTTGCAAAAAGCATTCAAGATCCTGAGGCCTACCTGACTCAAATGTCTTGTGATACCCTAGGGCTGTGAATGCCTCACCCTGAGGGTGACAGAAGGGTGGGAGTGGGCATCAGTGAGAAGAATGCACTTGCTCTGGATTACCAATGACCGTTCCCCCTACCCCAGGCTGCTCTCAGTTTCCCAGTGCATATGGGTGTGAGTTGCACACACAAGTGTGGGTTGCGTAATGGGCATGGGTTAGGCACATGGACTCAGGTTGGGTACACCAATTCGGGTTGTGTACATGGGCACTGGTTGGGCCCATGGGCACTGGTTGGGCCCACAGCTTCCCAATGAGCTCCTTTCTTCAAATCTCCCCCACCCAGAACCAGCTACTGCCCAGTCTCCTGATTATGCTAGACCCCTACTCACTGAAGTCGGAACTCAGTGGGTACCCACAAGTGGGTGTGCTATCAATGTTCAGCAGCAGGGACCCGCCCTCCACACCTCACCCAACACCCACACAAGTCCATATCTGTTCAGCATCCATCCCACCTGGTGGCTCCTGTGTGAAAAGATTTCCCCGTTCTAGTCTGTGGCTCACTGAATGAAGACAGTTCTCAGTGGGGCCAAGTGAGGGGCCAGCAGGAGGCATCTGACTGCCCAGGCCTTGGCAAAGGCAGGTCTTCACTTCCACCTCGCTTGTGCAAAATGAAGTAAGCAGGGATGGAAGATACCACAGTTCAGAGAAGGCCGCAAAGAACACTGCACTGTATCAAGGGAGTAAGAACAATTCTGCTCCTGTCATAAGACCCTCCAAGACATGGCCCAGGTCATGATAGAAGCCAAGACCCAAAGTCCCAGGCTCGTTGCTACACGAGTGATCAAGGACATTGCCAGGAGAGACCAAGGCATGCCCCAGCCAATGAGGTGGATGCCCTCTTTTCTGCAGAGAAGTGACCATCACAGCTGAGCTCCCACCACATGCTGGGCTCCCAGGAGAAGCACAGAATGTGTGCTCTATCTATGACACTTTGTTTAGCACTCACAGCACCATATCAAGAAGGCATTGTTATTACTCTATTACCACCAAGGAGAAGGACTCAGGTTAAGGAACAGCAGCACAAGGCCAGAGCTTATAAGAGACAGAAATGCAATTAGTGCCCACACCTAAGCCCAGAGACCACACTCTCTCCTGCCATACCATGGCTTGGTTTAAAATGACATTGCTTCAGTGGAAACTATTTCACTCTTTTGATTGTGTTGCTTTTAATCACAACTCAAATCAAAAATTAATGTTTCTTTGCCGTGACCGCGCAAAGGAATTTCGTTTACATAGGTGGGGGGACAGTGCTGGAAGAGGAGAAATCAGAGGATGGAAATGTGTTCTGCATTAGATGCTTTCTTTCTTGCCAATGGCTCACTTTCTTTTTCGAAGTGGAGAGAGCAGGGAAGAAGCCACATGTGGCCAGAAATTACTAACATCTTTCCATCTACAAGGGTTTATTTTAGGGATGCAGATTACCAACAATGTTTGGATAGGCGATTAGCTGTCCCAGGTTGATTTCCCTGTGCTGGGGGGCAGTGCAACCCCCCACCACCATGCCACACCCAGGGGCTGTTGGGGCACCAGGGGATGCTGGCCCTGGGTGATCGCCATTACCCCTACACCGTGCTCACAGTGCCTGGACGCCAGGGATGTCACCCATGGGCTGTGTTTACAGTGACAATGGTGGTGGTTGGCAGGGAGGAGAAGCCCCAGAAGATAGCAACTGGGGCAACAGCTAAACAGAGTCCTGAATCCTGGGTTCTAATCCGAGTCTCAGTTCTCTGTGTATTAAGGGCAGAGTGCTGTCTGACTGCCAGCCTGGCAGAATCACCATCCAGGGCCCCTGCTGGCACTACTGGGGAGACAGCAAAGTTCATCTCCAGCCTGCCCTCCAGCCCGTGACCTTCCTCTCCTCCCTCATCAGGAGTCCTGCCATCCCCAGAAGATGAGGCAACAACTAAACCCTGTCCCAGGCCCTTGATCTCAACTCCTTGTAACAGCTGGATCCTGAACTAACACACAACACAAAACAAAATTCATTCTTCTTTTTTCTTAGCAACAATGTAACATTCTCCAAGGGGAAGGGATTACTCCAACCTAGGCATCCCTGCCACCAAGAGACCTAGAAACTTTGAAAACTCAAAACTGGAGACTGCAGTTAGGGCCTGTCTGAGCCTTTCTCAGTAATCTTTAAACAATCCATTCCATTCGAGTAGACCATCAAAATTTCATGCCACTTTCAGTCATTCAAACTGTATTTTCTGCTCACAAATTAAACTTCCTTGGTAGCCTCCCCACGAAGCTTAGCCCTATTTCTGAGGTTGAAATGAGAATCAGGAAATCATTACACCCACCAACCCAAGCCCTCTTCAAAGCCTCCTCTTCCTCTGACTTTCCTGCCTCTATGAATGGCATGTCCATCCCTCCCATGACCTAAATACAGTGCTGGAACATCATGCCACTGTTGATCGAGGGCCAGGCATCTGCACAGCCATTCAAGTGGCATTGCTGTAGGAACCCAGAAAGGATACAAGGGCAAAGGTGACATGGGGCTGAGTTGAGAATCAACCTTGCAGC